TATGTTTTATACACAGTAGTGTTCATGCCAGGACATCAACATAACCTAGCTAATGGGGCAGCTGAAAGCCCTTCACTAATAAATTACAAAAACTTGGCTAATTTTTTTTATGTCTTGAAAATGGCCTTCAAAAATATCAAAACTTTCTTTCTTTCAGCTGTAACTCATAAACCATGGTGTGTCTATTTCCAGCCTGTACACCAAGACACTTTACTACTCCCTATGATGTGCCTTTCATACCTGGAGCCCCAAGTGATCCATAAACCATGGTGTGTCTACTTCCAGCCTGTATATCAAAACATTTCACTAATCCCTACAATGTGTCTTTCATACCTAGAGGCCCAAGTGATCCCAAGGTTAGTTACAGCCAAAAATATATGCAATCATATAAATTGTTTAATATTGCCCAATATGCATATCAATCAGAAGATGGCATCACCTGTGATGCTAAACTTACTAGGTTCACAGTGGTTTGAAGCATACAAGTTGTATGTTTATATTAAGCATTTACTGTTAAGAAGTTTCTGCTTGTGTAGAAGGTTTTATTACATAACTTATTGATATTTCAACTTTAAAAAATACAAATAGCAAACACTAGAAGGTTGTTTTGTTGAATCTGTCAGCACACATTTCTTTTTGTGGCTGAATAAAGGTTACATCTTAGGTTTCCCTCTGTTGATGTAATGTTGACCATAATCTGTTAGAAGAACTAAAGATGGTTACTTAGAAGAACAAACACAAATCACTTGACATTGTACTATGTTTATAAATATATGATGCTTGTTTTATTGTCAATCTACATAGTGTCTTATCATTCTGGGTTTACTAAAATCCTTGAGTTTCAAAGTATACTGCTTGTGCTCATAATCTGAGTACAGAGAGAGATGAAACCATTTTTGATATTATAATTAAATGTAAAATGTATGTGGAAAAGACCATTGTAAGGTAACCAAGGAAAATGGTGAAGTAAAAACTATACAATATGAAATCAAAGATGTAGCTTGGAATTAATTGAAAAATACAGAAAACTTTTAGTTTGATAAAAAACAACAACTTTTATTTCTTTTTTTTTAATATGGAATATTGTGAACTTGAAGTACAGATCATAAATGGAAGGCTGTGAACTTGAAGTACAGATCATAAATGGAAGGCTGTGAGCTTGAAGTACAGGTCATAAGTGGAATATTGTGAACTTGAAGTGCAGGTCAGGGTGGAAGATTGTAAACTTGAAGTACAGGAACTGAAAGATTGTGAACTTGAAGTACAGATCATAAATGGAAGGCTGTGAACTTGAAGTACAGGTCATAAGTGGAATATTGTGAACTTGAAGTGCAGGTCATAAGTGGAATATTGTGAACTTGAAGTACAGAGAGAAAAAAGGTACTAAAGAGGAAAACCATGGCAGGCAAATGATGAACAAATATCTTATACTGTTAAACATTGTAGGATTCAAGTCCACAATGTAATCCTTGTCATAAATAAGGCATTGCTATTTCTTCTCCAGTTGAACATTTCAGTATCTGTAACTTTTCTGACATATGATATCACGGGCTTTAGACCCCAGCAATGGAAGAATTAAGCAAATGTTTGCTTACGTTTCATGAGAGAGCAAAAGTGGAAAATTAACAATGTGAATTAATCAGTCTAGTTTTGTACTTAGACAAGCTGAAGAGACTATCTCCAGAAGAATACATGGTCAGTGTGACAAAAGAAAATTTTAGAAAAGAAGAGAATAATGAACATAACGAGAAGATACAAATAGAGCTGGTGAATAAACCATGCTCAATATTTTGTTGCTACAAAGTTCTGTAACAGAACAGTTCTTTGTTGCATATAGTGTTATTGGCCTGGCCTACAAGTTTCTGTTAAGAAGTTGCCTATGAGAGAAGTTTCTCCACTTTAAAGGTTATCAAGAACTGACTGAAGAGCAACGTATCTTAGTATTATATCAAGAACTGACTGAGGACCAGTGTATCTTGGTATTATATCAAGTACTGACTGAAGAACAACGTATTTTAGTATTATATCAAGAACTGACTGAAGAGCAACGTATCTTAGTATTATATCAAGAACTGACTGAAGAGCAACGTATCATGGTATTATATCAAGAACTGACTGAAGAGCAACGTATCTTAGTATTATATCAAGAACCGACTGAGGACCAGTGTATCTTGGTATTATATCAAGAACTGAGTGAGGACCAGTGTATCTCAGGTGGTACATCATGAACTTAGCTGAGGAGCAGTTTATCAAGTACTGACTGAGGAGCAGTGTATCTCAGGATGTTTATCAAGAACTGACTGAGGAGCAGTATATCTCAGGATGTTTATCAAGAACCGACTGAGGAGCAGTGTATCTCAGGATGTTTATCAAGAACCGACTGAGGAGCAGTGTATCTCAGGATGTTTATCAAGAACCGACTGAGGAGCAGTGTATCTCAGGATGTTTATCAAGAACCGACTGAGGAGCAGTGTATCTAGGATGTTTATCAAGAATCGACTGAGGAGCAGTGTATCTCAGGATGTTTATCAAGAACCGACTGAGGAGCAGTGTATTTCAGGAACACATGGAATTGTTTATGCTAATGTCAACAGTAAAAAGATGATCTTATGGGCCGTGAGTTGGATGGGGTATTTAACAGTTATGGAAAAAGAATGAACTCTGCAAAGTCTGTTCATCCCATAAAGTAAACCATCAGTATTTTTACCCTCACCACCGGAGGGGTGAGGGTACTGAATTTGGGTCCATAAGTATGAATGTATGTCCGTGCATGTATCTCAAAAATAATAAATCGATTTATATGAAATTTTTACAGGAAATAGGGTGTCCCCATAGGATGGTCCTCCACAAATCTGGATCACTTTAAAACATTTTCTCAGTTTGTTGATAATAACTGTGTAAACAGTGATCAGATTAGGACCAAAGTTCAGGTGCATATTGAAACTAAAAATCCAGATATATGCAGTGGAGAGAGAGTATGCAATTTTTCTGATTGCTCTTGTCTCATTTCTGTAGCATGCTGCTTACAAAGTAATTCATAGCCTTATAGTCAGTCAATACAGAGGTGTACATAGAGATTGAGTTTACTAAAGTGAATAATGAAGCAGGCCTTATTTAATTATATTACTTTAAGTAATGAACAAAGGGTTTTCCATTATGAAAGAAATAGTTTTAATGTGTTTTTTTTTATCAAATAATTTTAAATCCATCCAGCCACATTACATGCATATATTAACTAAATGCAGTTTTTATCCACAAATTTACCACTTTTAGGTAAATTAGTCTACATCATCAACTATCACTAAAATAAAATGAACTCAATGTATTCCAAGTACATCTGTGTATGTTTTCTCTTAGTTCGCTTTCTGTAATTACACTTTGCCAAAAATCATGTCTTAACACAAAATAACCTGAATCTCTATAAGCAAGTTATTGAAGTATGTATGCATAACATTATGGAATGTGCAGCAGTAAAACACAAAAGGGTAATTATTGTGCACAATTCAGTACTGACACTGAAGCTTGCACAAAAATATTGAAACAAATTTGATTGGTATAGTTCATAGATGTCTTTTATTTCTGTGGTAATGAGTGTAGGTACCATTGATATGGGGTCAGCCACAGGGGTCTTTCTTTTGGAGAAGAAAGACCCCGAGTAGCTGACCCCATATCAAT